TGCTGTTGGAGTTGTATCATATATCGATCGATTTGACCATTTTTACGATCATAGTTACCGTTGCCAGAACTTTTGCCGCACCCTGTATAATAGGCCACACATCATTCATTAAGCCACTACTAATCCTAATGGAGGTCGAATGCGGGCGCATCCCTCTGACGAAATTGAACGCAAAAGAGTTTATTCTCTCTCCTTAACCTATAAGGTAGGCAAGGTAAGGTTATTGCAGCGTTATGTAAAGCACTGTCAAACTCTCGATACGAGGATCCACTTCCAATTTGGACAAACAAGCCTCACAGCCCTTTGATGCCAAGGCTGTCTGGGAGGATAAAAGTACTGACACATACATTAGATGGCCTTTTATCCCTTCGGACTCAGTGAAGAGGTACCCTCGTTGGGAGAGATGGTAAACGCCAAGTGAGGCACTATCACAAGCACGCTCATGGGATCAAAATTTAAGTTGGTCCTAACTTACTTCTGTCAATCTTACCTTTGAAATCTGTTCAACGGTACAGATATGCCTGTGAAGACAAGAGCTCTGACTTTGACATGGGTTTTCGACCCAGCTGTCTGAATAGGTCATCCACACTTCGAATGCCCAACAGTTCTGAGCGGAAGTCGCGTACGTGGCTACATCTCAAAACAGGATAGATGAAGAAGCTCAGAGGCCTTGTGCTTATCTTTCAACAGGAACTCACGTGAACTTCGATATTCTTATGTTTACGAAGGACAGCTGTTCTAATTTATACAGTCGATGCAGAGATACGAAGTTTCTGTGGGCTTATACGACTAACATAAATTACACTGAAATCTTTCTTCCAGTCCAGAGACTTTAGTTAACCAGTGCGTGATTGAACTTGCAGTTCTCCTTCGTTTTGTGGTCAATGGATAAGTTGGCCCTTGGGCAGCAGCGGTGCAACAGAGGCAGCTTGAACACCTTGGCCACCACCTGAGTGGTTGGGAAAGTTGTTGTTCACATGTGCTGTACTCACTTACTTTAGCGATATAGGTATCGTAACAGCATAGTATGGACAACAGACATACGTTACTGTTAAAATGATAAAGTCTTCTGGCATTAATCAATCCCGTCGGAGGGATGCGCCCCGCCCTCGACTTTCAGAGTGGTGTAATGAATGCGTGTGTGGCCTAAACAATGAATTGCAGTGGCAAACCGATGTACAAGTCACTGCTTTTATCTTCCCAGACGAGTCTGGTACCAATTGACCGACCCCGAAGGGTTGGATGGTTTGGTTGGCCTAGGCGGATAAAAAGTTGAGCCTAAAATTGAGTATGGGTGTATAAAATCCCCAATGCTGTTGCCAAATGAAATGTCCGTTTTTAAACTCCTCCTTGCTTAAAAAGGTATTATATTATATACTTATTTCATGAGGTATCTATGTGATAGAAAAAACTAAAGGAAAAAATGAATAACTTCGACGATAATGTGGCACCGAGTAGAAATGCAACATAAAAACGTCTGCCAGCGTGGGGCAGGCTGTTATAGAGGTATGCTGTGGAACGATGACAATAAAAAAACGGCAGCTGAAGGATACAACTATTATAATAGGAACATATGTAGATTAAGCGTTTAGGACAAGAGTTATAACCTACCCTAAAATTCCATAGATAAGAGCGGTTGTGACTACCGGTGAAAAATGAATTGGAATGAAATTGAAATTGAATGTAGTCACCCTCAAACTTGATGGATGGATAAATGAAACTTCGAAGAAGAAGTTAAGAAGAAGCTCCGCCCCTTANGCGATTTTAACGGATCGCTGTTTTTCTATATGAATTGTTTATTAAGTAGGCGGGGTCTAGAGTTGAGGGGCGGAGCTTCTTCTAAACTTCTCCCATTTTTATTTATCCATCCATCAATTTAGAGGGGTGACTGCATTCAATTTCAATTTTTTCCAATTCATTTTTCGCCGGTAGGTTAAACCGCCCTTATCTATGGAATTTTAGGGTACTAGGAAGTCATCTGGCGTCTAGGTTTTCATCAAGATTCTTCTTAAAGGCTTCGAAGCTAACGGGGGCGCTTTCCTTTCTGCTCAGCTTGAAATAATGTGTGTAGGCACGATTAATGAAGAACCGAGACATATAGTTGAGTTTTGCTTTGGAGAGCAGCAGTTTAGCTCCACCTTATTGTAGGAGGTGAACAAGAAGGAGTCATAAGTTCTAATAGTAACATAAAATAAGTATGCGAAAATTCTCGCACGACTGCCAAGCAAACCCATCTGCCCGCAACCAGATAGATTTAGAATGAAAAACTCGCTCAGGAGATTCTGTTAGCACCTAAGGTCATCTTACTTACAACCAGTTCTCCGTTCTTTACCCGGGTCTCCAACCGAGGTGTCTTGAAACTGCCTTGGTCAGATGTATTAGGTAAATGACTCAATCAATCCCATTAGAAGTCGTCGCAAGGAACCTGGACTGGAGAACTGGTTAAAGCCTGGAGAAAAATCGGAAAAAAATCATTTGAAAATTTATAAAAAATCTGAGTCGTCAAGCTACAGCTTGACTCTTCATATTTCTGCCTACAAGTTTCTTTACTAATTTCCCAGCCATCTCGATCAGTTCAAGGAACATTGGAAATAGCGATAGATCTAACCGATTAGAAGACCGGAAAGCTGACATAATGAGATTCACAATCGTGTAAAAACTTTGCAACTGCCTAAGGAGCCTACGAGAATCTCTGCGATCATGTCGGAAGACGGCTCCGATTTTCAGAAATACTTGTGCTTAATATAATTGATGCACTCTTNAAGCAGTTTAGCTCCACCTTATTATAGGAGGTGAAAAAGAAGGAGTCATAAGTTTTAATAGTAACATAAAATAAGTATGCGAAAATTCTCGCANCACAATCGTGTAAAAACTTTGCAACTGCCTAAGGAGCCTACGAGAATCTCTGCGATCATGTCGGAAGACGGCTCCGATTTTCAGAAATGCTTGTGCTTAATATAATTGATGCACTCTTGAAGCGACCAGATCTGTCGGTCGACATGGGTCAGGATGTTCCATCGCTACAACCCGGTTAAAGATGAATGGCCGTGAATCGACTACTAATGTCGTTCAACGCACTTCAACAGAGTCTCGATGAGCCTTCGGCTACGCACATATTGACCCATGTCGATTCCAGAGACAACAACATTTGAAGTAAAGTAAACAGTGTAGGGCCTACTCCCACAGGCTCCGCCCAACAAATGACGACGGGGGAAGGCTGGTGAGATCTCACAACACTTGACCATAAGATTGGCTAGATTTAATCTTTTAAGTCAAAAAAAATGGAGCGACGGATCGAGATCGCTCACTGTGATGGGTCCTCGTTTCTCTGTGCTGCCCATAAACAACAATAATTACTACAACTTTATTGTTGCTCTAACTCCCCCATACTCAGGCGCTGGGTGAATTTACTTCTGACAATGCTGTTTTCTAATTGTGTTGATCTTTTCTGCGAAATGATGTTGATGGATTAGCTTGATTCGACTTCATTCTTCTATTTACCAAATAATAAACTCGTTTGGTTGAAGTTGTCAACAGAACTTGACATTCATCACCAAGGTTTTAAAAGAGGAAAACAACGATCTCTGTTTTCTCCTATTTCTGGATTCTCGGCATTCCAGCGTTAAGTTTTAGAAAGGAACAGCATAGTAGAGGGGTTCGCCCTATCTACATTTTCACAGTGATTTTACATTGACTTCATCCTCAGAAATCTTCTTTTCATCACTCTCCTTCTATAGGATTGCATTGAAGACGGCTCATTCTACTGCAACGTCTTAAAAACTGCCCATGTTCATTGGCATTACTACTGAACCCCTTGGAATTTAAACGTCCGTGTACTTGGAAACCTCAAAACGATGATGAGAATTCAGTTCGTGTCCGAATTCCCACCGTAAAACCAGCCGTGAAATATCCGTTCAGATGTCGATGTCTTACTTATTGCCCTATAGACTTAGCCGAAAAAGGCCTACAAACGGCCTATAACCCCAGAAATGAGCTCACGTTCTTTCCTGCGGTCCATAGGCATTTCCGGCTGAGTCAATGAAGCAGAAGGATTTGATCCTGTCTTGATTCTTCTTTCTTGTTTCTTCGCTATCTATGCAGCTGAAGAAAATGAGGCGTAGGTCTGTGCGTCTCGTGTGTATTACACCACCACAGATTTATCGGCTATTTTACTAATTGAATTTAATTATTACCTTTTTCTATTGTCTCTGGAATTTCTTTTTTTTTTTTGGTCGTGAAGAACATGTTTTTTGCTCAATTGGACTAGTTGTCCATGTGTACTGAGTGACCACACGGTGTGGAGCGCTAATTAACTTGGCGTATTAAATACACGTGGTTTCTATTTCGCATTCGCTTGGAGAAACGAAAAAAAAACGACTAATTGGGCGTTAACGGGGTGGTCGCCTTATCTCTTCTGACAACATGCCACGTATCGTTGATTGTTGATTCATTTTAAGGCTCCAACGTCATTATTCCACGCATTGGCGTGGTGGCACATCGCTTTGCGATGGCTTCGGCATATGCGCTCCTCATTTTGACGACGGTCGTCATCCTGGTTTGTTTTGGACAAAGACAGGACCAGGAAGCCACAGCGCATTTGGTACCACTCGAAGCCAATGCTGATACTCTCGTCTATCTTCAAGTGGTACGTATCTGTTTCAATATACGCCTTCGTTTTCAATTACTCTGGTCAGATTTTGGAGTCTTTGTTTTGCATTATGTTTCCTTTTACGTTTTTTATTAAAAAATATGTATCGCATCATATCGGCTGGCAGGTTCTGGGTGAAGGTCGTAGTGTACTTGCTTCATTTACTCGATTGTCCGGCCTTGCCTGATGTTCTCTTTTAGCGTCCCGCAAAGACAATCGTTCCTCCGATCGCCTGGAGTTTTTGTTTTCTATTTCGCTAGAAATGCGATTGTCGAATGTTAGAAACTCCGGGTTGCAGAATCTGCTTTCTCTTCGATTCCTTTGTACTCACTAATTTAATGAGTGTGAGTCTACTGTGAAAATGCCCTGTGAAATCAAACCATCGGCTGAGAAGTCGAGAAAGTTCGTGAATACGTAATGAGGCATGCGTTGAGGAAGATATTGCTGTGGTATTCAAGGGTCTAATAAAAGGACCCATGAGAGAATACTAGAGTGGAGGCCGTTGCCTTGATGACGAAATGGTAATTAAGTGACTTTCTTGCGGCAACTTCCCCAAATAGTACAAGCAATGTCGGTTCGGGAAAGAGGAAAAGGTTGACGAGTATAGGTCGTGATACGCTACCGTTTTGCTTGCCGAACATGGTTGCCGCTCAAACAGGGCAGATAGTCGCCCAGGATGGGAGACGGGCAGTAGGAACGGTTTTATGTAATCGATCCGCCGCACGCGGCTGTCGCGGACCATTAGGCCTAACTGTAACAGTTCCAGCGCTCGTCATACAGCTCAATCATTATGTGATTATTGCTTTTGGCATGGTCCTACCGTTAGTTCTTTTGTTTTTGTTTTGTGTTTTCTGTATTTCTTAGTTGCTGCTGCATTCTGATACATTCCTTCCCACGCGACGTTTCACTTGCCGCGAAGCGACAATTTCGTTCCTACTGCACCACACCCGCCCATGTTTCTCATCTTTGATGTGTGAAGGATGAAGGATCC